CGGAAGAGCCGGTTTATTTGATAAGGCAGGATAATCAGGATCTCCGAGGTCTAGTCAATCCTAGGCATTCGATTCTTTCAGATTTTGTAGCTTCTCTAGTTGGTCAGGTTGTAATTCATCTGGAATACTTGCCCTTCCTCCAACTACCATCTTTTCTGGTACAATCTCAATATCTTCCGTTTCTTGTACTTCGATCACAGTACCACGAGATGGTATAGATTGAGAATTATCTGCTGTGCTTGGCCCAGATGTTGAATCTGCTTCACTACCAGAACTGCTACTAATTGGAAATGGCGCTGAATCTGTTGGTAAATCATCAACTGTTGACTTCTCTTCAATATCTTCAATTGCTTCTGTCGTTTCCTGCTCTTCTCTTTCATCCATTATCACAGTAGCCTCTTTACAGTCACTTTCATTTATATCAGTAGTAGTACTTGAAGGTAAATCTCCCTCAGAACTTTCTGTTGATTTTGCTGTATCATCAGTGCCTTCTTCTAATCCCGGAAATGGATGTTCAATTTCTTCCATTGGTGTTGCCGCAGTAATTACAATTTGTGCAACGCCAAGACCGAAATCTTCTTTTGATTGGTCAGTATTCAAATGCTTTGTTTTTTCATCATTTTCCTAAAAATCAGAAATATATAGCTAGATTTATTAAATTATTAATCTTTCGATAAATTTTTTCCAACTATCACTTAAGAAAATTTTATTTACCTTTGTTCCCAATTCATCCGATACTTCAACGACTAAGCAGCAGTTTTGTGTACATTCATGATATTTAGAATAAATATAAACGCGGTAAATAATAGTAATAATTTGAAACTTACCTATTATACCAGGCCCTTCGGATTTATCGGCTTCAAACTGCGAACCATAATGACTTTTTTGGTCCTTCGAGAGATTTATTATGAAACCTTCTTGTCGATTCTGTTCTTCGATATTTGCATTACTGGATTTTTTGTCTTGTGATTCTATATGTCGAATACAATAATGAGAACATTTTTTTTTTTTCACAATAATTCCATTTTCAAGAATCGGTTATTACCTTTTATTATATTTTGAGTCATTTCGTTTCCTAATAAAAATTCTGGAACTTCAGGTGGTGTAAATACTGGTGGTGCAGAGCTCGGTGGTGTTATATTTTCCTAATAAGAAAAAATGATAGAAAGAATATTGAAAATAGCTATATTAATAGTAATATTATGTAAAAAATAAAAGTTACATGTATTTAAAATCATTTAAAATAGTTTATAAATTGAAATTTAACCTGTGGAGTTAAAGGTGAACCATCAGCGGCACATGGTTCTACGATTAAAGATGGGAATAATCCTCGTTGTCCGCGTAATTCTCCTTCCCACCATCCATCATCGACATCATGAGGTTCTTTTTTTAGGACTTTTAAGATGTCTCCTTCCAGGAAATTAAGTTCTTCATCGCATATAGCATCATAGTCATATAGGGCAATACAATATTGTTCTATTTCTGAAAAAAAGATAACATGATGATAACGTAATCATTATTTTAAATAATATATATATATATTTTTCTTTTTACTTTATTAATTTGTTATACACATAGTTATACGTTTACTTATAAATTACGCGATTAAATAAAAATATTGTATTTAAATTAAAAGTGCATAATACCGGAGAAAATTACGCAATCAAGTTACATGATGTGAAAATTTACCTCCTATATGATTTTGTACAATAGCTTCTGATTCTATAGCTTGTAGATTAGCATCCGGATCGACTGCATCATGATCGTCGATAGTATAATCTACCGAGGAGAAGGATATTTGTTGTACTAGACCAGGTCCTTGAGAAGTGAGACCGGATGTTGTATCTCTTTCAACATCGAGATAATTTTGTGGAACAAAGCCTTCTTCACCGCGATAATTTCGTGCTCGGAGCCAACCATCGCCGTCACCCTCACCAACAACTTCCAATTGCTCGCTTTCAACGATAGACAGTTCATCAGGATTTTGCGCCTATAATGAAATGTATTTTTTTTTATGAGTTCATAAAACGTCATTTTCTATAAATAATTATTTATAAGGTAAGATTATACCGCATATGAATAAAGTGCGGTACACTTGTATATTTGTTGCGTGGAAGGCATTTCAGATGTCTCGTGAATTTCAGTTTGTTCTTCTTTTTCCTCATTATCCCAATCTGCAGCTGTCGGATCGTCCCAACCAACTGTAAGTTGTTCTATCCGTTGTTTCTCTTGCTCAAGTAAAGCTATAAATTAATGATACAAATAAGATTCTTTTATCAATTGGAATGCTGTATTCGCTATATTATAATTTATATGATAAAACAATTAACGTATATATACCATCAACTTCTTCGCTATCGTGTCTCTGTCTTTCCTCTACTGTTTCTTCTTCTTGTTGAGCAGCGTTTCGTGTACTGCCAGGTCGCTCAACAGTCGTTAAATCACTTCCACCATCTCCGTCACTATCATAAAATGAATCTGAGCATGGATGTTCCTACAGGATATAAATGTACATTTTTTTACAATACTTAATACAAATAGACTTATAAGTAAAGATTAGTAATTTGAAAAATTGTTTAAAATAAATACCGCTGTTCCCGATGCATCAGTTCGGACAGAAAGAGAGCTAGCAGAACGTGGCATATCTTGGACACTTAAAGTTTCTGCTTCCTGTAGCCATTCGTCAACGTTTACTAAACGAGGAAATGCAAGATAAAATCGATATTACAGTTGGTGATATAATCTGTCATAGAATTGTATCAGAATACAAAAAAATAAGATATGTAACAAACCTCCACCGTTTCGAAGACATTCTATTCTTGCTTCTGCCTTTAGTTTTGCTGTCTAATGAACAAGTAAACAGGTAAAGAAGAAAATTGACGTGAGTCATGTTTCACCACATAGCTTACCTCTGCACGTCGTATCATATGTTTCAGTTCATCGATTTTTGTATCTAAATCTGGACCTTGTGGATCATTTGGATCAGTCTATAATCGTTATTAAATATATTTATTAAACAAGTCATTTTAGAATATACAAGTACATCGGCTAATTATATATTATGTTAACCTTTTGTCCAGACTCTTTTAGTTGTAAGAGAATTTGTAACTTTCTATTATTTTCTCGAATGCTGCTTATTTCACGAGCTATTCTCGTCGACCAGCGACGTGCTTCCTTTCCAAGTGTAGCAGCAGCAGAATGATCAGCCGTTATCCTGTAATAAATTTTTTTTCCAAACCATCACAAAAAATTAAGGTTGTAAATATATCTATTTGATGTTTCATTGACAAACCTGTCTATCGGATCGTGGTCACAAGGTTCAAAATCATATTGTATATGTTGTTTCAAGACAGGATAATACAGACAGCAGCATTGTATATTGTATTCTCTAGTGAGCTATAAGAAATAGGAAATGAACCAGACAAGTAAATTTGATGCTTTGTCATTTTATCGTATATATATTTTCCAATATAATCTTGCTCAAATTTTGTACTTACTTGTTGTGCTTGGTCACGAATTTTTCCGAAACTATTTTGAGTAGCTAGGCAGGTTAAGAGTTCTGTACGACCCATTAGCGTTAAATATTCTGCAACTTTATCGTAAACACCTTGTTCTAAATACTGTTAAAAAAGAAAAAGGGAACGTTTTACTTTTCTTGCATTAAAGGAAAAAATAAACCCGATAATAAAAGTGACTTACTTGCATAGTGTTTTGTAAATCAACTACAAAGTATCTATTTTGATGTGCATTGGCAGCGGCAAGACTAAGTAAATAATCATTTCGAGCTCCTGTCGATTTTTCTTCTAAAGCATCGCGTTTCGAACTTACCTGAAAATAGTAATTTTGTGTGAAAGATGTTTTAATTATACGAAACTATGTAATTATGTAATATTCCTTATAACATTTCTTCACCTTTGCACTATTCTTTTGCAATGATGTTATCGATTGAAAGAAGGATCCCTTCTTTTTCTTTAGCCTACAATTAAACGATATTAGATTTTATGATGCGAAGTCTTTAGTTAATTGAAAAGCTAAGATTATTTACTTATTAAATCCATGTAAATACATACTTCTCTTCGATATCTTTCGCTTTGTCCCGCACGTCATGGGCGCTGTGTTCTTCATCGAAATACAATTTCTTTGTTTTGTCTACATCTTGTACACACATTTGTAGTTCTTTTTGTACTATCATTAATTGGTCAATTGCCTAAACGGAAAACAATCTTATGCATTTTTTTCCGGTTGACGAGCAAATAATATATCTGAGAAAAAATACCTTCTTAGAAATTTGAAGTTTGTGCATTTTTAAACCTTTTGCATCATCAGCAATTTGTTGCTGAAAAACTTCTACTGCTGCTAATCGCGCTCTAGCCAATTTTTCATTTTCTTCTAGAACAGTTCGCCAAACATTCCACATATTCCTGAAATGAACAATTATTTGTATATAACTTCCAAATCATAGAAATCATTATATA